AGAAGCAGAGCGTGACTTGAGTGTATAGATCTATACGGGGCTAACTACCCCGCACCTTGCTACTAGCTACAGTAGGACTGACAGGTCTACGAGTGACAAAAGTCATAAAATGATACTAGCCTTCTTCTTGCCATATCTAGTTTATCGTATGGTTATAGAACTCGCAACTTAGATAATGGAGATTTACTTTTAAGTAATAAAGAACTTAGTAAATTAATACCCTTAGGAATTAGTTTACTACCTACTTAATAGTTTTATATACGTGTTAAAACTAATGTACTTTTCAAGGATAACCAGACTTCAGGAAACATCACTTAAACGCTACAAGTATGGTAGATATTTGTACACTTCATTCCGAATCGATAACCAACCACCAACTTTTAAGGAAAATAAGGGTTTTCCTAGGATAACTTAACTTCTCTTAACCAAACTGTTTAACAAATGGATAACTAAACTTCTCTTATAAGAAAATATGGGATTTTCTTGGATAACAACTTTTTCAGAAAACCAAAGGAAACTTGTTCTTTTACCAGAAATAAACCACTTATGAACTCACTAGCTTTATGCTGATATTTTTAAACTGCTTGTATTCTCAGGTTCTCGTTAGACAGGTATCCCGCGTTCTTTTGAAGCAAGACGGAGCGTATAGAAGTCTCGTCTCTATTTTGTTATACTAATGTATATGTAAAACATGTATTATCTTTGCTTTCAAACAAATGTAAATATTCTTATGTAATGTAATGCTTTGTGTTTACTATGCTTGCTATGTACATTGGTTGTGATACTTTACATGATGTCCTCCGCCCCGGAACGTTTCCGCTATCGGTTTCTGGGTGTGACATCTAGCCATCACATTATACCTTAATAACCAATTTAAGGCAATCAGTACAACAGTAGTACTATTTATAATACTATAGTACTTACATTTTCTCATTTCTTTCATAAAGGGACAGTACTACTTGAAAGTTAAATACAAACTATTTTCGAGTTAAGATAGTTATAAACTAGGGAAAACTTACATTTTTACACACATACATCACATTTGATGCCTTGGTAGAAGGCTACATTTAGTAGAAAGCGACCATAATGCTAACCTTATGATTCCTCAATGTACACATCAAGATATATATATATATATATATATATATATATATATATATATATATATATATAATATGATAGGTAATAGGATGTGTGCTTTCTGCTTCATTTCATGTTCCTTGTTTGGTTGTGGTCTTAGAGCGGATTCACCCAACCTATTATCCATTCAATATTAGTTATATATATGTTCCGTATACATTAAGTCATCATAAGGGGTACCAGGTATGGGTCAGGTCATAGGACACTAATTCAATGCACAATTTTCCAGTACAAAACATACTTTTCAAATCAGAACTTTGGACATACAAAACTAGAAACTTATCAGTAAAGGGTTTAATCCATTTTATTAAACCATCATTTTAAAGGACCTTAGGTAGTTAACTCTATAATACCTTAGTTTATACATCGAAGGTTATATATAATTAATATCCAATAGGTAGTTGGATGTGTGCCTTCCACTTCATTCCCTGTTCCTTGTTTGGTTGTGGGCTTAGGGCAGATTCACACAATTAACTATCTGTTTGATATTAGATTATATATAACTAGTATAAACTAAGTGATTATAGAAGGAACCACTGTGGTTACTATTTTTTTTTATAAGAAATAAGGGTTTTCTTAAAGAATCTTTTCATAAATTATGCAGGAACTATTACAGTTAACTTCGTGAATACCAAGGGAATACATTAGGGGTATATACAATAAGGATCTAACAACCAATGAGATGTGTGTCATCCGCCTCATTCCTTGTTCCTTGTTTGGTTGTGGGATTAGGGCAGATACACACAATTGATTGCTTGTTTATTCTGAGTTTTATATAACTTGTATCCATTTAATACTCATAGAAAGGATTGTAGAGTCATTTTTACTCATCTTTCACCAAAGCAGGAAATATAGGATTTTCTGGAGGAAACAGACAAACTTTTCTAAGCATAACTTACAACTTACAACATTTTTCAACAACTTTCTACAACTTACTTACATCACTAAAATCTTATGAACTCACCAGCTTAATTGCTGATAAACTCTTTCAAATAACTTGTATTCTCAGGGAACTAGTAGACACGTACCCGCGCTGGGAATTTAGAAGATGGAGCAGTATAGCTCCGAGTCTTGTTTTGTTATTTGCTTATGTATTCTATGTTTTGTGAACACACACATTGTAAAAACTTTCTTTCTAATGAAATGGTTGTTCATTACTTTGCTTACTATGATGCATGTCTTGTGATACTAAATATGACGTCCTCCACCCCTGAATGTTTCTGCCGTTTCGGTTTTGGGGTGTGACATATTTTCAATGTGTGCTTCTTGGTTCATCAAGTTTTCAGCGAATGCAACTGCATTTCTATGTTGTGAACAACCAATATGCTTCAAGAATGCACAACTTTTCCCGTCATTAACTTTTTTTTTTTCAATTGTCAAATCCTTTAACAGTAAATGCATCATAACCATGACACACACTTGGTTTATCGTTAAATATATAACAAATAAAACAATAACATGAGTTTGTTGTTGGAGAATATTCTAACCAATTAGGAAAAATGTTGAACCAAGAATATTGGAATCTACGAGGATGTTTCTTTGAACCTTTAGCATGATACTCTTTAAGACGTATTTGTAAAGGTCCTAAAGTCATATAAGCTCGTCTTACTTCTTCTCTTAAATTAACCGGAAAATCCCACATTTGTTTTCGTTTAATAGGTTCTCTTTCTAGTTGCTTTAGAGCCACCTCATTAGGATTTGATTGTGTGGCTTCAGAAATGTCATTCTCTTGTTAATTTCCATGTTGTTGTGGTTATGGCTCACTTGTTGAAGCTTTTTGACGTTTACTCTCATGATTTTCATTAAGTGTTTCTTCATCATCATCCGTTATTTTGAAAAAAGAATGAATGGTTTTCATCTTGCCCATGATTGTATCTATAAAAAAAATCAAAATGCATGAACAATTCCTTCAAACTATCTTAAATTTTTGCAAAAGAAAACATATAAATTATAACATTGTGTGAAGTCCTAATTACTTGATTCCCAAATTCCAACAAGAAGAAAATGGAGGAACAATTCATATTAGTCATTAATCAACAATCCCAGCTCATTGTCTCATTTACACAAACAACAAGCAATTGGAGCCACTGTGTGAAACCCACAACAAGCAATTAAGTAAATGGAGAAAAAAGGGAATTTAGAAATATAGAAATAGAAAAGAAAGAAGATAAAAACGGAGGCAAGAAAGTGAGAACAATACTTGATTTTCTGGTTTTTCTTCCGTGCAAAAGAAAGAACAGAAGAGAAGATTGAATGTTTAATGTCGCCTTTCGTGCTAATCTGATGCGTTTGCAGGTGGAGCAAGGAAGGTGACCTGCAGTGGCAGAGCTGACAGTGGACGGTGGTGATTGTGGCTTGAGGCACTCAGGCGTGAGAGCTGAGGCGTCTGACCAACAACGACTAATGAAGAACGAAAGATGAGGATTACTGGATTGGGGTTCGATTCACCGTTGTCGTTCACGTCTTTTCGATTAGGCATGAGGGGCCACAACCTAATTTTCACAATCATGGGCCTATATCTTGAAAATTTTAATCTATTTGGACTGCTTCTAACCCAAAATTCAGAGGGGGGATACCCCTCCTGGCCCTATAAAAGATGCGTCCCTGGAAGTCAGAGAAGACATAGGTCGATAAGGAACTGCCGGTAGCGGTTGTGCGAGCCAAAAAACCGTAAGGAGGTTGAGAAACCGATTGAATGGTTGTGGGAGGGGACAACCAGCGATTATGCACAATGTGGGGGGTGGGGGGGGGGGGGGACGAAGAGCTGCTATGGAAAACGCTAAATACCAAGTTTATGCGGTGAGGACAACATCTTAAAAAGATCGAACGACTGAGATTGGAGACGGTTATTTAGGAGCAGACGTTAGTAATAATAATGATAATTTGAAACAACATTATTTTAGTTCCTTTTATATATATATATATATATATATATATATATATATATATATATATATATATATATATATATATATATATATATATATATATATATATATATATATATATTACTTTACACATCCTAATGTTGAATTCAGTTTCACATCGTGGTTTGAAACAAATCTACGAACATTTTTGGCAAAATTAGTTGGTAAAGGTGAATCGTTTATTTGTTATATGAATGTTTTATAAAAATAAATAGATATTTTTAAAATATATAAAATTATATAAAATGATAATCGTTTAAAAAAAGAAAAATATATTAATATATTTCCAAGGACAGTTATGGAAATTAATTAGAAAAGCTCAATAGTTTTTTTTTCTTAAACACAAATAAAATAACTTTTAGATTTAAAGTTTTTTTTTTGTCTAAATAAAAGCAAAATACTATACTCACAAATGGAACTTTTTATTTTAATCGATTTAAAAAAAAAAAAAACTATAATTAAAAGCTTCGAAACAGCGAGATTGTGCATAAGTAAGGTGTTTATAATGATCTATCCAAAATTTCTAATTTATCTAAATTTGTATAGATAAAATTTTATGACTTATCTTAAAAAAAATTAGGACTAACCTTACCAATGAAATCTTGAACTGATATATAAAGTTTTTTATAGAAAAATTAATGAACTGTCATATTGAAAAATTAATGAACCATTTTTTTATTCTAGATTTATCACCATCTCCGTTTGTAACATGCAAAATACAGAAGTTTATTACAGCAATTAAATAAATAACCTAAAGAAGCATAGCATATAGTATATTTCACACAATAATTAAATAAAATAAATAATGATTTATAATACATATAAAAAACATATTTTCACCTCCAAATTGTACGTTTAAAAGTATTGTCGATTGTTTCCGACCTCTTTCTTTAATATAAACACATCGTATCGCTTTGGAAAACAATAAATCAATCACTCCACGGCGGTTTCAACCTTTGGTGGCCCAGAATGCCGCCTGGGCTTCGCCGGCGAACCCGAAAAAGAAAGCTCTTTCTTCGCACCCACCGTCATCCTCCCACCACCGTTCTCCGACAGCCCTTGTACCCGCGATTTCCCCTTTCCCGACTTACCACTTCCAGCCACCATACGTTTACCGGCTGCCGGAGAACCGGCCAAACCTCCGACGCTATGCCTTCGATTCTTCTCGGATTGAACACTAACAACGCTTTTTGAGTCATCGTCTTCGTTGGCCTCTGTAATCGGAGCTCTAGGGCTAGGGCTAGGACCAGGCTTGGGTTTCCGTGATGCTACCGGACCACCACCGGATTTTGACCTAGGAGTTGACGGGGCGGAGTTGAGCTGATGACGAGCGTAGGATTTTGCAATTTCGGTTCCAGTAATGTTGATTCCACTTTTGGCATTGTTTCCGGGATCTTTCTCTCCTCCTTGTGCCTCCGCCGGCCGCCCAGCCATGTATCTCTCCGACCAGCTCCAACCCCATTGAGGATTCGTCGGATCCATGAAAAGCATGTTTGTCGTCGCTGCTGATTTCTTCCATGGTTGCTGTTTCAATAGAATCCCCAAACAGCTCAAATCATTTGCCGAAAAAACTAAACTTTACACATGAATCTTTACCTGATGAGAAAACGAATAAGCCATGGCTCTTTCTCTTCGCATGGTAGCTTCGTATCTGCTCAAGAGCTTAGCTTCCATTTCTTCTTTAGATTGGACGCTATCGTTCCAATCATCTCCATTCTGTTTCGATAGTTAGATCCAGTTATGACAGAGGCGAACATATGTAAACCGTTAGTAGTGACCGGAATCCATGGAAGCTAACCTGCAAATTAGCGAGTTCTTTAGCTCGGAGGATTTGTCTCTGAAGAGCTTGATTCTCTGACATTCTGATCCTTCGA